AAAAAAAAAAAAAAAAAAAAAAAAAAATGAACAAGAAAATAATCATCCATCATCATGCCTAAATGTGAATGGGCTTATCATAAGTCGCCATAGCCGCTTCCTTCAAGGCCTCGCTCATAGTTGGGTGAGCATGACACGTGCGCGCAATATCCTCACTCGACGCCCCATACTGCAAAGCCAAAACCGCCTCATGTATAAGCTCCCCAGCATTTGGAGCCATGATGTGAACCCCAAGAATCTTATCACTCTCCTTCTCCGCAACTATCTTCACGATTCCCTCCGCATCATCAATCGCCTTCGCCCTACTGTTGGCCAAAAACGGAAACTTCCCCACACGGTAACTCACCCCAAGCGCCTTCACCTGCTCCTCAGTCTTCCCTACATAAGCCACTTCTGGGTGCGTGTACACCACACCAGGAACCATATCGTAATCCACATGCCCTTCTTTTCCCGCTATATACTCCACGCAAGCCACCCCATCTTCTTCGGCCTTGTGTGCCAACATAGGCCCTGGGATGACATCACCTATTGCATAAACGCCCTTCACGTTAGTCGCGAATTTTTCATTCACGAGAATCCGACCCAATTTATCGGTCTCGACACCGATTTTCTCCAAATCGAGCCCGTTTGTGAACGGGACTCTCCCTGCAGAGACGAGGACGACATCTGCCTCGATGGTTTTCCGGTCACCGCCGCCAGCTGGCTCGAGCGTTAGCTTGAGGCTACCGTCTTTAGCAGAAGGATCGACAGAGACGACTTTAGTCTTGAGGATAAACTTCATCTTCTGCTTCTCGAGCGAACGCTGGAACTGCTTCCGGACTTCTCCATCCATGGTTGGGACAATGTCGGGCCCAAACTCGACAACGGTGACTTCCGAGCCCAGTCGGCCCCAAACAGAGCCCATCTCGAGGCCGATGTAGCCGGCGCCGATGACGACGAGCTTCTTGGGGATTTGCTTGAGGGCCAAGGCGCCGGTGGAGGACACGATTTTTTCCTCGTCGATGGTGATGCCGGGGAGGTTTTTGACGTCGGAGCCGGTGGCGATTATGATGTTTTTGGCCTTGACAACTTTGTTGTCGCCGTCGGAGGTTTCGACGGAGATTTCGGAGGGGGAGAGGAGTTTGCCGCAGCCCTTGATGTAGTTGACTTTGTTCTTCTTGAACAAGCCCTCGATGCCTTTGGTTAAGTTGCCGACGGCTTTGTCCTTCTGGGCCATCATGGCGGGAAGGTCGACCTCGACAGAGGAGAACTTTACGCCGTGGCTGGCGAACGAGTGTGTCGCTTCGTGGTACATGTGGGAGGAATGAAGCAAAGCCTGCAAAAAGGTGCGTGAGTGGATAAGACGTTAAAATTGCCAGGGAAGTTGAAAAAATCGTGTTTTCGTATGTTTGGAAAGTGGTTAACGGATGGAAAGAACCTACTATGCCACAAGCAGATGAATAATAGACTATAGCTTCGTCAATAGTGAATAGGAAAAATGCATGTTGAGAGATATCATACAGAAAATATGTTGATTCACCAGCTTTTAATGTTTAAAAACATTTGAAATGCACAAAAAACAGCAAGATAACAAACAAAAATGGTTGTTTCACAAATCATATCTATAGATAAGATACTCAGGCATTAATCTTCTTTATTGCTATATGCAGTGATACCAAAGTGCAGATTGGGAAACCAGATAAATATAATAATTTGTTCGCCATAAGTCGATAACCAGATAAAAAAGAAAATGTTCGCTATACAATGTCAGTAACCAGAAAACAAATAAAACATTTGCTAGGGCAATTAAATCATCTTCTAAAGAGCATCTGGGATCCACAAAATTCTCCGTGGAACAAAGAAGTGACAGAATTGTTTAACAATAATCACATCAAACAATATTGAGGCCCTTGTTTGAATAAGAATACATATCCTATTTGCAGAAGAAGTGCCTTTGTCAACATCACTCTATCTAGAGTAAGAAATGAGTTAACCAAAAATTGGTACTATGTAGTACTCTATAGTGTTGTTCTAGAACATGAATGATAATTGTCATAAGTACTCAATACAATCTATATATTTATCATGAATCACCAATTAAATCAGAATCGCAATCAATTCATTAATACACTAACTACTTGCAATTTGCAGCCCAAACACTTTGTAAGCCAATCAGTTAGCCCAATCTTCGATCGACACAACACCGAATCACAAAAAGCATCACAATGAAAACAAACATAAACACCTTACAATTAAGCAGCGGACAGCAAAGGATCTAATACACGCAACAAACTGCAAATACAAACTTACCTTAGATGGGATGCAACCGACGTTGAGGCAGGTTCCGCCGAGGGTCCCGCGCTTCTCGATGCACGTGGTCTTGAGGCCAAGCTGCGCCGCCTTGATCGCGGCAACGTAGCCTCCAGGCCCGCCGCCGATGACGACGACGTCGTTCTCGTCAGATCCAGAGGCGAATCCCCTGCTCGCAATCCAGGAGAACTTTGTTCCGCTACAGATATTATTCGAGGAGGAAGAGAACAGCGTCGAAGCTCTTCGCCTAGCGAGACTCGCCATCGCCATCTTTCGTATGCTCCTTAGGGTTTGGTGATGCTATTTGGACGGTGGCTCAGTAGACGCTTTTTGAAGAAGACGATATGGTATGAGGGGCATTTTCTAATGGGGGAGAATGTTGATTTTAATACTGAGATTTAATCGCAGCCGTCGAATAAATGGATGCTGACTGACTTCTTGTGTGTCCGTCGGATCAGTGATGGTAGTGAATTAGTGATCGAATTGTATATTTCTATCAAAAGGAAACTCTTAAATAATATTTATATAATTATGATGTGTTTGATTTTGTTTTGAAGTCTCTAATGGATGATATTTTCTAGTATAAAATGATCCAATTATTTATTTATTAGATATGTGTGTTCAAATTAAACTTGGAAACTTGAATTTAATATTTTAGTGGAAAATAATACGTTACCCTATGTACTATGTTCTTTT